CGTGGTCGGTACTGCTACTACCTGCTTCAGCTCGTATCCTTCCTCGCCATCTACCTCCACCTTACGCACGTCCACGCCCAGCAAGGCACCATCGTAGGTGCCTGCACTGACTAGGGCCACCGTCCTCCCTTCGAGTGGTAGCGGCTCTGTTGTCATATGAGTAACAAAGCTGAGGAGATGTTATGCTTGAGAAAGGAAATCAATTCGGAATGTGACGGCTGTGCATGGCAAACTGTGGGGGCACTCCACCGAGTGTCACCGAATAGAAAGTGGGGACACTCCATTGAGTGTCACCGAATAAAAAGTGAAACCTGCGTAAATAGCAAGATAGCAAGACTCTAGACTGCGCGCCTACCAACAGAGACATTTCCCACATTCAACAGCACGCGAGTGTCAATGGCGTCAATTCCTCAACGCCAGCTTGGGGTGTCTAGAGGTAACCATATGGGGATGGAGTCTTTTGTCTCTTCACCAGTGCTGTCTTTTAATGGTCCACGTCGTCAGTCCAACTCGGGAAGGATCACCTTGCAGGTAGTAGTGTTTCTGTTATCGATGCCTTGGGGGGAAGTTGCCTCAGTAGGCACTGTCAGCCTAGGAAGACTAGGAGGGGTGGACGCCGAGCTGAGGGGGTGTGTCCAGATGGCCCGTAGTAGTCCTAGTGTGTCCTTCCCTAGGTGGCTAGTCGAGGTGGTCGTCACGTTGGTGGCAGTGGAGAGCATCAGTAAGCTCCTCGTTGTTGATATGTGTAGTGTCTTTCACCGACGCAGGAGAGGGTCGCCTTCATCCGTCTCGACAGCTTCCTCCAGGGGCACTAGAGCGAGGTCGCAGGGCGTGGATGCAGCCACTATTCGGAAGAATCTTCTCACGTGAGTTTAACCCGAGGCGAGCTTGGTGGTGGGCATTGATAGTATTTTCACAGGTCTATGTACATGGTCGATTTCGAGGATTGGATGGCCGTCCGCCGCACAGGGAAGAATTCTCAAGTAGACGTATGAAAGAGGTCACGACTTTTCTATTGAGTGTCTAGGGTCGACCTGTGCCTGGTGCCCAAGTTGTGAAGATTCCTATGAGTTTTGACAGGAGTGGTAGCAAAGTGCCCTTCCTCGACTCATCTGCTACTCCTAAGAGCATCTACCGGGTACTCTGAAGGGCCACTTTTATCATCATCATCACTGTTGTGTGTATAGGAGGCTATCGGTGGTTGGTACGGTAGCGCTGACGGAGATCCCTTTGCGAAGAGCAGACTAAAGGATCCTAATGCACCCCGTCCTATGGCGAGCACTGCGGGTATGTTGTTGGAAATTATTTCAAGTCGGTGAGAATCTCTTTAGGTTGCCCGTTCGCTACTGTGAAGGCTCGAAACGGCCTGCCTAGATGCGACTTCCATGAAGGAATTACTTCTTATCGAGAGTAGAGAGGGACATGGTTTCGGTATGAGTTCGGGGAGTATATGGTGTTGTAGGTATATGGACGTGACGTATGAGGAGAATGTGAGGTCGATCAAGGACAATATAAGGGGAAAGAGTCTGCGTCTTAGTCCAACTGGTGTAAATGAGGATACGTTCCTAACAGTAAGCGGAAGGTCGCAGGTTCGATCCCCGCAGGGGGTATTTTTCTCCGCAGGTGCAAGGTGGTGTACCTTGCCAAACACGGTTGAGATATAACGAACGCGTTAAGGCATCCGCTAAGTATTCGAAATAAATATATTACTAAAACCATGTTGTTGTGTGTTCGCTCTCACTTGATGTCTGTGACACTCGTCTTGGGTTTCAGCTCATCAGTCGGTGGGTATTGCAGTGACGTGGGAAAATATGCACATGGTGAACTACATGTGTTGGTGCCGATATGGAAACTTCTGTGTAGCGTTAATGTTCAGTGAGGAAACTGCTGGAGTCAGCTGGTGACAACGAGTATATATTCCAACACTGATTTTGTATATCGATAACTGCTGTAGTCCACTTAGACTCTTCGTGGTCAGAGGAATAACTGTGAAAGAACCTCACGTTAAATCCTGTATGATTCGTCCATCAAACTTCGTACGGTTTGGGAGGTTCCCTCCAGTAGTGGAATCTATTTTGTACACAGTTCTGGGGAAAAAGCAATGACTGTAGTTTATGCAGAGTAGGAAAGCGATGATCCACGCCATGCTCGAACCGTTCTCTCGGTACCAAAAGTGACCCCTGAGGATCTGAGTCCTGATGAACAGCTCGACGAGCTCGACGGTGGAACCTCTGCTGTTGTCGAGAAGATGTGGCACTGCCACAGAAGAATTCTCTATGGGAATATCAGGTGAGTAGCAGGGATAATAAACATTATATGTATATGGTATTTGTCAGGGCTATGTCCACTCTCCTTAACCATGGGGGAATGATAATAACTTGAGACTTAACCTGTCTAACAAATGATTACCTATTACTAATGGGTATCGATATGGAATGATCTAATATTGCTAATAGCAATACTAGCCTAGCGCAGCTTGAATGATACTAAGCTTGAGGAACAGACACAATTGTCACAACAGTATTTATATGAACTATATGGGAAAGGTTTTATAACTTCTATGAATTCTACCAATGATCCATGCTATTACTGCTACTAATGATGATGATATTATCATCATCAGTAACATATGCACATTGTCAAGCACATATGTTGATTTCAAAATGGAAATTCTGAGGAAATTTCTGGGAAATATTTTTTTTGCTATATTCTACTCGGACTTGTATATGAGTGAGGAAACTCCTAAGCGCAGTTAAGGTTGAAACTAAACGCATATATTCCCCCACTAGGGTTTGGGGGGTTCTCAGAGTCGTTGGGCATTGAGGTAACCCAACAAAGTTGAGCCAAGATGGTTACGGTGTACGAATATCAGTACAACATACTGATCATCAGGATCAATGCTCAGTTGAAAGTGTGTACGCATAAACGGTGAAACTAGATAGGGGGGATACTACACTCTCTCCTCCACTGGAGAGGAGTGCCGAATTCATCACTGGTCGCTGCTGAGCCCCAACCTATGACGAGCAGTTTAACGCTGGGTTGGTGAACGTAACGATGAGCACAATATGAAACTAGAATATCAGAGATCAACTGTACGCTTACAGTTAACGTTTGTGCATTTCTGCTTCCCCGTATTCTCCTACAGTCCACTTCTGTCTGCCATGGTTTATGTGGATGCCTCCTACTAGTTATCTTCTGTTGTGTTCCTATAGACCCCGAAACCGGTAATTACGACAAACCATCTCACGAAAAACACATGTCGACATAATACCTTATTCAGAAGCCATCGTTAGGGCTATTTAGTGACGGGCAGGAAGTCTCAACTAATCGACTTTAGTTTGTTCATGCCTCCACTGACAGAAGCCTTAGCAGCATCGAACTTTTGTAAAGGGGCCATCGATCAGTCCACTGAATCTCTGCAGAGGATGCGTAGAGTAATGAAGCATTGAAAACGCATCTTAACTTCACTCTGGCTGGGTGTAGGTGATGGAAGCTGTGGGGAACCCCTTGGAAACTCTAGCCGCGTCGGGCTCGAGATTTGTTCATGTCACGGGTGAGTGTCACGGGTGCCAACGATTCACCTCAATGGACGCACACAGCTCAGCCTGGAAGTGTTGGATACGAACTTGCACACCTCAGGCACCAATGGGAAGGGCACGGTGTGCTCGGGGCTAGCGGCGAGGCTGCAGTCGTACCGTGTTGGGGTGTTCACAAGTCCATGCCAGAGATGGCCCAATGATCAAATATCGATAAGTGGCGACATCATGCCGGCTCTGGAGTGATACCACTGGGGTTGTCACTGCTAACATAGTGTAGTTAGATATGAACAGCAATTGAAGTTTATAATGAGAGAGGCTCACCAGAAGGGGGAAGTCGGGTTGACGAACTTCGAGGCGACCACCATAGCTGCATTTTCTTGGTTCGCTAGGATGAGGTGAGCTGATGTATTATCAGTCGTTCTCTATTGAAGGCCTCAGGCCTCTGGATTTCGTAATCATCGAAGTTGGCGTGGGAGGTCGAGATGACGCCACTAACGTAAGTCTACGACCACTACGGGGGGGAATATGCATATGGTCAACTACATGGAAATTGGTGAGAAATTTTCATTGGTTTCAGTGCACTTCTACTCGAAATTTTATGTTAACTCTTGCACTAAGCTGAGGAAAGCAAAGATATATTTCAACACTGTCACCAAATCCAGGTCCTTCCCAAAACCGATGTAGCCGTCTTGACAGGAGTTGCTCTCGACCATGTGAAGTTCTTGGGGCCCACACTGGAGGACGTAGGAGAGGCGCTGCCGTCGTTGGGGTAGAGGTAGATTTACAGATATGTTCGGCGAAGTGTGGTATCATAACTCCTCATACAACGACAGCTGTAGCATCTGGTGCTTATCTAAATGCGTCATGCCTCAACATCGTGAAGGAAAGATGTGCTTCGACCGGCACGGCCCTGCGTGTGGTGACAGGCCGTGGTGACAGTGACGATTACAAAGCTCACTATGCAGCTCTCGAAGATGAGGTCCTCAGTGCTCTCGGTGTCAGTCATCAGCAGAATCATCCAAGTAAAAGGAGTTATTGAGATTTACACTCCCCCTGTGGCCCTCAGGCGATACAGGGACATACCTTCATACCTTGAGAGGACGGCAAGAGCTCACCCATCATCCACTCAACCCGACTATTCCTATCATACTCGATGGTGCCCACAATGAGGAAGGCCTCAGGTCTCTGACACACTTCATACAGCGGATGCTCGACCAACAAAGGGATATCACTGAGGTAGCGGCTCATCCCACCATACAGTGAGAGTTCCGGAATCTCGAGTTCATCAGTATTACCCATCTGTTGATGCACTGTATTGAACTGCACAGTAGAAGTATCAGATACGCTTCATCGTGGCCCTATCGGGTAGTAGGAGTCCCCATGAGCTCTTCCCTCTGTTTTTAAAGCCTTTCTCGGTGCCCATCGCCACCGTCTACCCCACCACATTTAGAGACGTTCCTGAGATGCCCTGGGTAAATTGAGATTCATCTCGGCGTACAAATTCGTGATCAGGTTGAAGCTGTTGACCCAGAGGAAGCCGTCACTGCGGCACGACAGTAGGACGTGGTATTCAGCAGTGTTGTTAACCTCTACTCTCAGGTGTGTGCCACCCTCAACAGAAGTCAAACCCGTTGCCGACCTACGAACAGCTCTCGAGCTGGGCTGCTGCATCGGGCGTGAGGACCCAACAGTTACTATCACTCTACATTATCCTTCGTATGCAGGTGACCACTCGCCTCTTGTGGTCGTGTGCGGTTCGCTCTACTTAGTGCGAGAATATCTGTTGTTACTCGATGAGGCATTCATCAAAGATTGATTTCCATCACTGTATTATGTTGTGTACAACACGTATCGCCTTTCACATGATATCTATTTTGTGCATCAACTGCTACGCTCCGCTAAGTTACAAGGCCCTATTTTAGCATCACCAGATATAACCAAAAACACTCTTCTAGATGAAAAATGTTTGCACAGCAGTACGGGTCAGTAGTTACTTCATTCAAGCCCTTCAGCAGCCTCCAGTACTTCAGGACTGACAACAGGAAAATACGCATATGGTCAGCTATATGTGTAGGTCACATCTGTGGAATTTCTGAGGAAAATTGAGGAGGAAAGTCTCAACGGTTCCTGTACACTTCTACCCGAATTTGCATTTAAACTTCGAAGCTCAGCTGAGGAAAGCGAATATTTATTCCAGCACTGAGGAAAAGTATCAATTCCCCACTACAACAGTGTATCACCTCGCAGATTTACTCGCCCGAGGCGACTCTGCTTCTGTTGAACTAGTAGATGAACATGTTGCATTGTACAGTACTCTCTGGTCACTCTCCTCTCCTGCTGAGATCATGTCACGCTCCGTCTGAGGAAAACAACATGTAAAAGCAGAAACTGCACTCCTCTTACCGGGCCGAGTTTGGTGGTTGCCAACTGCCAGGCCGAATTGTATACATCTGCGGCCTTGGTTGCTGACCACTAAAAACTGGCACACCTCTGAGGCAGCATAACACCACTGTGCGAGGGCATCCGGGTTGAAGTCTGGGTCCACTAGAATAGAATGCAATCTGAAGTGACCACTTGAAAGAGGCGACGACAAGCTGGTCAATACTTATTAAGTGTCCACAGCGAGACGTCCTGAGCCCGACGGTTCATGAGACCTTCGAGAAACTGTTCCGGAGAGGCTCTGATATCAGATACCATCCTCTCGTACGATGGAGTTGGATCTTCACCAATGGTAACGGGTGATGGCATCGTTCCTAGAAAGACCCGTCTGTGTGAATGTGTTATTGCCAATCCTCTACCCGTAACAATAGCGACATCTCTGTAGTTCATGAAAAGGGTATATGCCATCGCAGTGAGGTTGAGTGTCCTAGATAGGGGCGCACTGGTGATGGATGCAACACCATCTAGATTGGCTTTCAAGTAACTGCAAACTACGAATACCACAAATAGGATGCCTTTCCCTACTACCTCATTGAATCGACCATCTGGCCGGTGTACTGCGAGGTTCGGTCCATCAGGGCGACGAACTCAGAGTATGCATCGTTCTCTTTACATACGAGATTACCCATAGTAAACAAATGTGATTCTAGTGGAAAAGAAGTGATCTGAGAGCCTCCATCACGGCACAGTCTAGGTAGAATCTGAGACGCTCCCTGCTATCCCTGCTAGTCCTCAAGAGCTCTTGTTCGAGATCCTACCAAAATCATTTTGCGGGAAACGCGAATTTCCGATGAGAGAACATCTAATAGAAATACAGTGCGTTGTAACACAATATCACTACGTAGTTGATATCGCAGGTTTGTCAATGGCCACCATAATTTCTAACACTTTCGGTAGCTCGCTCTTGTTTATGTGCTGCTTTCAACATAACAAAGTAGCAATAACATTAACAACCTAGCAGTCACTTAGCAAGCAAATGCTGACAGTAGCCAATTCGAAAAACCACACTTTTTCGCGACTTGTATTTTTCCGGATTTATTTTACATAGTGACACTTTTGCCCAGATGTGTTTTGTTCACACTTTTCTATAATCGCCTCTCTCGAAACAAATACAAGTATCGAAATACACCTTCACGTGATTTGTAATCACTTCGTACATGTAACCATCGTTTCAGCCAACCTCGGCGAAACCGTTACATTCAGCATTCCCAAAAACCCATACGTAAATCGACATTTACCCTCGAAAGAAGCCATTTTTCGCACAAATCGGCGCGCATCCGAACTGAAATAGTGTCAACCGATCTACAGCTCCGCCAAAATGGTCTCTACTCATCGTTCTTGGCACAATCACATTTAGACGGAATGGCTATGGTTTGTTGAGCTAACTCTTCGTTCGCTCACCCCAAATGCTCAAAATTTATCCCCTCGCAACTCCGAAGAATTATTACTGCCATATAGGAAAACTGAAGGGTGGGAAGAGCACTTCGCCGTTAATCTGTAGGACCAGTAACCGGTCCAAGTCGAGCCCCTGTGGTTGTCGTGATCGGCCACGTCCTTGTTAGCAACTGCTGATCTCAGATACTTCGATATCCCTCCTGAGGAAGTGGTGCCAGCTTTGGGAGAGGCTTCACGAATGATTGGAGTGAAGTTGACGTATGGTAATAATAGTAGTAGTAGTGGTAGTAGTAGTAGTAGTAGTAGTAGTAGTAGTAGTGGTAGTAGTAGTAGTAGTAGTAGTAGTAGTAGTAGTAGTAGTAGTAGTAGTAGTAGTAGTAGTAGTAGTAGTAGTAGTAGTGGTAGTAGTAGTAGTAGTAGGATGGCCAGTAAGGCGTTTCTCGGCTTTGACCATAACCCTTGCTTTTCGATTTATCCCACACGATGAATGGTAAGAGGTGTTGCTGGCGTTATTAGGACTGAATCTTCCGAGGCGTGTTCCCTTGTGGTCCCTTGCGTTCTTGTGAATGGGTGATGATGTAGTGCTGCTGTCATCTCCTTGGTATGGCAGTGGTCGAGTTATAGTCACCATTCATTGGTATCACAGACTCAGTAGCCATATCTGTGTACATCCATTCCACACCGAATGGAGACGCGACAGATATCCGATGACTTTCAGGGGAGACGCGCCAGTTTCCCGGCTTCCCAGGAAGGACGGGATGAATGTCATTGATAGAAGTCTGTAGTTTTCCAAAAATTTTAGAAACATATTTTTGAGACTTCATTTGAGACGAAAACGATCGCTGGACAATCCATCAAAAACAGTTCTTGGAACAGTTGGGCATTTTTTCATCAAAAAACTGTGGGGAAACTAGTAAATATTTCGACAAAACATTGAATCGATCTGGCAAATTGCCAGATCGATTGAATGTTGCAACTACAACATACAATGTTGTAGTTGCAACTTGCAACTACAACATTGAATGTTGTAGTTGCTCATTCCCGAAACGACTAAGCTCTGCGCGACGATTGCGGTGGCTCTCTGTGGGGTTCTCACGAGTAATGCTTCGAGCCCTTCATACCATGGTGAACTGCTTCCCTCCCGAGAAGTCGCTGTTCATCACTGGCACAATTTTAGGACGATTTCGAGGGAAAAGCTTGGCCTCTCTGGGAGCATTGAAGAGGACCGAGCCTCTCTGTGATAGCACGGTTGTCCAATATCATGGTTACTTATCCGGCCGAGACAACAACAAGTAGAGCTGCTTGCTAATAGCATCGAAACAACAACGTTCGATTATCTCCCAGATTGTTTTATTGGTTTTTCGAATCTCGTGACGCATCACGAGAAAGTCCAACCTTGATATACTTCCAAGGAGGCCCCGGTGCCAGTAGCCTCTTCTCGGCCGTATCGGGCAATGGTGGCCCCTGTGTTGTTAACGATGATGGCGAAAGTACTTCAATGAATGAGTGAGATGCGACCGACCACAGAAGCACTTGAGAATCGCTCAGGTTTTCGTGGAATACCAAAGCGAATGTTATGTACCTCGAACAACCGGCTGGAGTCGGTTTCAGCAAAGGAACTCCTCCAACAAACTCTGTGAAAGCAGCTGATTCGACGTCATAGATTTTCTCAATGTCTTGTCGACTATCTCCATGGCACTGTAGGTATCTCGCCCTCATCGAATTCTTCCGTTCGCGACCCAAGTACAACACACGAGTCTTCCTAGCCGGCCAATCCTTTGCTGGTATGATTATACGCGCTCAGGCTTGAGCTGAATCTTCGTAGGGCATTACATACCTCCGCTCGCAGCTAAATTGCAAGGGTCTCTGGTGCGACTTGAAGGCATCATCCTGGGAAATGCTGCTGTTGCTCCCGAGATACAGTAACAATGTAAAGTTGTGAGTTTCCATCGTGGAGGCATAAACTCAGATGGGGCTCCTTCCCGAGAATGCTGGTGGAAAACGGCATCATTTCTCGTGGAGGGTAGTTGCGATTTCGCGGGAAAGAATCGGCTGAAACTCGTTAAGGTAGATACGGAAAAGCGGAGAAGAAAGCAACGAAATGCATTGAAAAAGTGCATGCGTGCAACGAGTTACGAAAAGCCTTGGACCAGATGACAAGTGTAGATGAGAAAATCTTGAAGAAGTATATTGAACTTTGCATCGAAGCGAAAGTGATCCGTGAGAAGAATTTTATCCTCCCCGTTACACGTACAGGAAAGAGCTGGTATGGGCGGCTGGGTGAAACAGCTTGTTAATGCGAAGGCCCTTTGTAGTTACCACCTCGATCAAGGGTGTGTCGAACTAGAGATGGACCCCACCATACTGAAAGTAAGTATATAGTCGATTTCAAGAGGCCCACATCAAAGTTTTTCGCCCGGTCTTTCTCAACTGACCCTGTTGAGGGCTCTCTTAGGTCACGGCCTACTTCAACAGCGAGAACACACAAAGGTTTTTCGATCAAAGCTCCGTCTGGTCAGTGGTTAATTGCAAGGTATTCTCCGCGGAAGAACTTATCCCTCACTCTAAGCACATTGTGTTTTCTGTTTATCGGTCAAAGTTTTCTCTTCCAAAGAGGCGCGATATGGGATGCATTCCTCAGCTGCAGAGATCTGAAAAATTCACACATTCGAACCGCTCCTACGAACGGCGGTGTTACGATAGGTATACGAAAAGTTGGAGCCGGACATTGCATGCAACTATCATCACTACTTGCCTGAACTACTCGATAAGGGGCTACGGGTTCGTTGAACATTCGTAGAACAAGTCTGTGATGCTTCGATGATGTCAGATTCTTGTGTACGCTGGAGACCGAGATCTAGTGTGCAATTGGGTAGGAAGTCTAGCGTGGATGGAAGCACTCCGATGGGGAGGGAGAGGCGGATTCAGTCGGGCCCAGCCCGTTGAGTATTCCGTAAGGATCGGCGCCGAATTGCACCTCCAGCGAACATCGTTCTTAGTTGCTGAATGGAACCGCTATTGGAAGCCTCAAGAGTTACTCTTTGCCTATCACTGGTGGACAGCTGAGTTTCGTCAAGGTAGGTCACCGGGCCCTCCACAATTTCACTCCTGAAAGTTTTGTCGGTGACGAGACTTGCCGTGATAGAGAAGTATATCACAGTTGTGATTGCCTGAAGACGAGTGTTGTGTATGCGTACAGCATATCTTCGCGTGGCAATAGTGATTAATTAATTCTCATAGCGTAGACAACTACTGCACGCACACACATAGGTGTGACTTCTAGACTAACCACTGGTGTTACCAGTGGGTTTGACAGCTACCCGAAACATTACTAAACTCAGCTTCATGTGTTCAGGTCTATGGTGCTGGTCATAGTGTCGCGATGGACGTCCCACGACAAGCTCTCAAGATGCTTACCGATTTCCTCGACAATAAGTTCCCATAGTGATGTCCTTCAGCACACCCTGCGGTTCCCAGTGCTGCTGACGGCCATTAGGGTCCACCGTGGCTACTAAGCAGCGTCTGTTGTCTCTGTCTCTCCCAACTCAATGTGTATCGATGTCGTCCTGATGAATGAGTTCTCATGGAAATGTTCCCTATTGATTGCTTCTGACTATTGTTGTGTGAAGGGGACAGCGACGGGTGCGAATAGGCAATCACAGGTTGTTCGTTCCAATAGATGTAATACGAAAACCGCCGAATGGTGGCGATAAAATCACCATGCATATATACGCGGATGGATTAGTGACAAACACATGGTTGTGAGAATACCATCACAAAAATGGTTTGTGCGCTACAGCGATACGCTTCAAGACCGTACAAGATTCCTCCTACACCCCCCTCATGCGAACTGTCCGTGTTTGAATAACGCAGTATTCTCGCAGTGCGTTCACGAATAGCAGTTTGAAGTGCATCGAATAAGTATCTGTCTTCGGAAGTGTCTTCGGAAAGTCGGGACTCCGGTACTAGGGAACTTCCCTCTAGAAATCTCAACTGCGAACTCAAGAAACTATATAGAAGAGACGCAAAATCGACATCACATGAGAGATTATCTCCGCCGCCTGTTCACTCGCTGTCTATTTCGTCGTGATCTGAAAATGTCCAAGAAGCTGAGAAAGCGTACGAGTTCTCACTTTAACATCGATGTCCATCACTGTCGAAGAGCCCAACTGCGGGAAGTCGTTGAAGGAGAGCGGGTCAAACATAAGCTTCCCCTCGTAGAACAAGCTCTGGCACCACGGAAGCTCTGATGCAACCTAATCCAACACTCACTAGGTCGGAGTAGGGGATATCCATAAGCTTAGACAAGAGGGCCTTAGCATGCGCAACATCTTGCCCCATCGACACCTGAGAGTCTACCGATGTGAAGGCGCCCAGGCCGAGGTGACCGCTCATATAGGCTCAGCTTTGCTTTATCTGTTCAATCTCAAATTCAGCAATTTCGAGTTTGAACATCCAGTCCATGGAAAACTCCTCCTCTCAAAAATCAAATGTCACTTTTCAATTGATTCTTTCATTTGCCGAAAGTGATTGAAAAAGTGTAGAGTGACGAGTTCCGTAGCGTACTTGTATCTCGGTGATGTCACCAGAAGGCATCTTGCATCGGAGGGTGATAGGGGCTCCTCGCAGTTCCTGATCGTAGTGAGAGCGGAAAATACTTTATTAATAACGATCATAGAAAGTAGTGAAGAGGTAGCAACCTCTGACTTACCGACTCTATCTTGTCCCAAGAGGAAAGGCCACTCGCGTCGTACTGGGAGGGAAAAGCAACTCCGCCGCCTGACTGATTCGGACTGGTACTCATATGCTGATGTTGAAAAGACCTATTGCTATCAACATGGGGATAGAACGAAACGAATCAGCAGTTGAATGAAAATATCACAGACTATGTTCGGAGGCATGCAGTGAATGTCTAGACAGGTCGAAGACCGTCCGTCGTGATATGCGGGGTAGAAGTCTCCATAGAGTCAGCCGAAGCCGTCTTCGTAACCGAGTGATTAGAAGTTCTCTCATAAGATCTGCCAAACCTACAGGTGCAACAACGTGATTATCAACCATCGGGAGCCCTTCCACCTCTGGTAGACGTAGACCCCACCAACAGCCGCGCCACAGCCCGCGGCCTGTGCGGGTGTCACTGCGTTACCGAATATCAGCGCCGAGATGAAGATACCAAGGACGGTCTTGACGTTGCCGAGCAGCTGAAGGGTGAGGGGAGATACGAAAGAAGCAGTGATGAAGTTAGAGAGGTTGAGGAGACAAGCGTTAAGGCAGTTGAATAGAATCCACAAGTGCCTGCAGCAGCCATCAACACTTGCGAGGGCCAGCCGAGCGAGGAGACTACAATGTGACTTCACTGTTTTCACTGAATAGCATCCTATCCCAGGGCTCCAACCCTTCCATGGAACAGGAAGCCACGAATAGGATGGCGAGGCACTTAGAGGAAGCAGAGCATCTCGCAAGAGCACCAGAGGGGGTCACCTGTGGCGCCATGAGATTCAACAGGGCAACGGAGCTGATCTGGGGTACCACTTGTGAACCTAGGATGCTGATGACCTTGATGAGCTTATGCTTAATCTACCTTCTTTCCCTATGGCCTGATCTTCAGAAGAGAGCAGCCTCTTCTGGAGAATAGTTTTGCCCCCGCGAAGTAGCGTGGAGGCGATGCTGAAGACGACGCCCAGAATGTGGAAGTTCATCTCTCGCAAAGAACACAATATCTAAGCGATTGGATGGACAGATACCAAGTGCGGCGCATGCACTTCATAGGGCGAAAACATGAAACAACGCTGGAATGGTCTAGTTGGTTATGACGACTGCCTAACACGCAGTAGGTCCCGAGTTCGATTCTCGGTTCCAGTATTTATCGAAAATAAATGATCGTTGTGTTACGTAACTCATACCATTGGATGGACTTACCAGCCCAATAGTGACTATTGTTATGGACACGTACGTCGGGAAATTGAATCGAGTACGAGTGAAGAGGACCTAAACGTAAAACAACATTGGCATCC